AGGGAGTTCACAATCTTTCTCACCATCCTCTTCAGCTTAGTTAATAAGAGAATCAAAGTCATATGTGATTATAGCAGTGTCATTACCAATTGGTTCAGGTGAAGATATGCATTTGTTCATTTTTATGTAATGAAAAGTTTGTATGAAAAGTCTTTCCATTTTGAAAAGAAAAGGACCGGAAGAAAGTGATCTTAATTGAATGCAAACACAACTTTTATTAAATGATAAACAAAGTTTTAAAACAAATTGGGGCCCTTGCAAGTTATCATTATGCTTCGGGAAAAGCATAGGGATTTAAAAAAAGTAAAATTGCTTGAAATAGAAATAGATCTATGGGATCTCCATGGTAATCCAATTGTTGAGTTCTTCATCTGGAGCACATTTGATGACGAGATTGTATGCCCCTTCATTATCTTTATTGAGCGTTATGGATAGTTGTTCGTTGTGCTTGAACCTAGCGGTGATGAAAGTCTTATGTATAGGAGGAATTTGTCCTTGTTTGCTCTTCATGGTTTTGACTATCCTTAGAGGAGTTGTAGTCTAAACCATATCGACCTTCCTTTTCTGGGGATGTTTAGCACTTGCCCCAATTTTCTTTTTTTAGAATCTTTATGCTTCTCAGTGAAACAATCGCTTGCCTCTTATTAAAGATTACTTGAAAGATCGACTACAATAATCCTAGACTTACTGTTTTTAGTGTTTTAGGGTTGAAAAAAGGGAAAAGGGGCAAAAGATAAATACAATTGCAAAGTAAATAAATCAAATACAAAGCTTGTAATTTAAATTAAAAAGACTAGAAATTGCTATGAATTTAAATGTGGAAGCATTCATACATTGTTAAGAATGAACTTGTTTCTCTCTTAGATGCGGGTACTTTGAGTGTATTACTATTAAATGTGAAGAAATGTGACCCTTAACACAAATACATAAAATTTCTTAAATAGAAATCCTAAATATGTAACCATCGACGGTTACTAGCCCATATTGGGCTTCGTGAAAAATTGTTTTGAATTTTCCCACGTTCTCGTTGGCTTGCATGTTGATAACTGTTCCCACCAATCCTTGCTTCGTCGACATTTGCACCTATCGACAGCTACCTTCAGTCCTCCTGTCGTCGTCGAATAGCTCCCTTGCTCGACACATCTTATTATTTTTCACACAAATTATGCCTCTTCAGCCAAATAACCCCACAGCTTAAGGCTTATTACCCCAGTCGAAAATTGCTTGTCAACAAATTTCCCCCAAAATGCCATGTTTGACGGAGTCTTATCAATGGAAGAATTCTGGTGTTTTCTCTTCCATATTTTTGACCACATCAATCTTTGGGTTGACTTCACGTGTAATCATGACTACTTTCTGCGCCACAGTTTCCCATGTCATTTTAGTCACTTCTCATTATTACTCCTAGTATTTATGGTGTTGGTTATGAACAAACGCCACTAACTTTTCCACTTCTTTTGGCTTGCTCCCGCTATTCAAGTGGTATTTGTTTCACTCCTAACAGTTCTGATTCTCCTTTAAATAGACTTTCAAGAAACCTTAGTCTCTTCCTTCTTCTTCAGTTTACCAACTTTTTAATTCCTGAAAATCTTGAGGGAACTTCCTTCGTTTTTGCAATGACCACTCCAATTGATATACCCTTCACCGGTGATAACCCCATAGCTTTCATTATTTATGTGAAAGAAAGCTTAAACAACATCGCAAATTCTCCTTATAAGGTGGAATCTAAGTTTCAAGCATGACAACACCAAATGCTGATTCCTTTTATTGTTGCAAGAAGACTCTTTGCATTTCATGGACCTTATCCAGCCCAAGAGACGCATCTTAAAACTGTCAACCAATTTTCCCTGTTTTCTTCCTACGATCCCTTCTACCTTCAACCATACAAAACCCATTAATGTTAGGTTTATGGTCTTTGATATTGCAGTATTTTCCTCCATACCCAATCTAGGTAGTACATCATACCTTGCTTAGCTTGATAGAGTTCAAGACAAACGAAAACATCAATGGGAAAAACTTGGCATCTTTGACGCAATTCAAGTTTCACGGAACACCAATACAATTGATCCCAACTTTATTCTCACCTCACTTTTATTTTGGGAAGGTTCGACCAACACCTTCCAACTTTCTTGTGGGATGTTGACACCTACCCTGTTTGACATAGAAACCATTAATGGGATCTCTCCGTTGGGTATGACTTTCAACCCATTTGTGCCGATGAAGCACAAATTTTACTTAGACCAATCAAATTTCACCAGCTACATTGATGATCATCATCTTGTGGGTATGAGCGATGTTTTCGACACCGAACACATAGCCTTTCTCACACTCTAGCTTTCCCATTTCTTGTTTTGCACCTGATCCTTTGCCAAGACACAGGATTTCATACCTCTGTCGATTCAACTCCATGAGGGACAAAACATCTCGCTGGGAAAGCTTTTGTTGGTGACTCTTTACCAAACTTTGGCCAATGCTTCTATGCAACTGAAGGCACTCCTTGATCACGCATAGACTTCACTCTTTTAGGACCCTTTTGGCTTCTGCAACACTGGCTAAATGCCATATTCCAATTCAGCTGGGTTATCCTTTTTCCGAAAAAAATCCACGTCTTGACAAAGTTAGAGTCGTCGAAGATCTAAGGCTATCTTTGACCACTCCCCTCCACAAACTTCGTCGACATATATTCATGAAGTATATCAATATGTTCGTCGAAATGAAGACAATCGCCTCAACCATGTCCCCTTTTGTGGAATTCCGATTCGGTCTAGACTAGTTTCGAGAACCTTTCAATACCTCTCCAAATGATGCTCGTATAAATGCAGTCTAGAGGGTCTTTTTAACACAAATAGTGCTTTATTGTCGAATCAATACCAACTCGACAAGGTATGGTTTCATGGGTTACCAACCAAACTTGGTATCTCGACAGTTGAGACTTAGCCAAATGTTGCCTTCATCCTTGTTTTACTGTTGCACCGACATTGTCTGAGTGGGTAGATAACTCACTACTGAGGAACATAAGGCTTACCTTAGATTCCATCGGGACACTCAAACTCTTGAACTTCCGGTGTTCGACTTTGAAAACTCCTTCTTTACTTCAAAGTTTTTAGACCAGTGGTGGCTCCAATACCAGGAGAAATACTTCTCCATACCCAACTTCCTTCAAAGGCTTATCGATGCTTTTAATTCCCTGGAGACTCAACAACCTCTTGCACCATTGATTTCTCAGAGTCAGGAGCATCCTTCGGTGGTCGAATTGAACCAAACTCCGCCTTATGAAAAAGTCCAGGAAATGACACCTTCCTTCTTTGTAGGCTCAATCCCACAAACACGCAATGTTGTGTCGACAAACTTAGGTATTTCTTTTCGTCTTTTATTTTCAAATTCCAGTCTTGTTTCTTATGCTAACTTGGAAAGCTTCCCCAGGGGCTACCTTGTGCAGGTGACATCGAGTTGAACCCAACTAGAAACATCCCTATTGATGTCAATACTGCAAAGTCCCGTCAACTGGCTTTCACCAAACCTACCTGCAATATTTTGAATGATTCTCTGCCTCCCAACTTCGCCATCCAGAATGAGATTGAAATGTTGAAAAAAAAGATCCAATGGCGGAATTTAGGAAGATTCACCTTCTCCTACACACTCCAATTGCTTCACCAAATCTTGGCTCGAAGTCTCTGCCAATTGCTGAAATTGATGTTAAAGTAATCCACGCGCTTCATGAGCTAAGGTTTTATTTGTTTAAAAGTGAGTTTTTAGCTGTCGTCGAGGAGGAAGCCTTCAGGTCAGCTGCGATCTTCAAACTTATCGACACTATTTTCCAATATCCTCTTCCTGATTCCTTAGCTCAGTATTAATCGATTTTGAAGCTTTCTTTTCCCAACTGAAAAAAGATATCTCATTCCACCATTACATTGACCTCCAGCTTAAGACCAAACAAATGAGATGAGAGGTGAATGGGACTTGAGTGAAATTTGTGTGCAAAGGGCTAACAACCTTGAAGCTAAGAGGAAGGACCGTACGGAGCATCATTTTGCTCTTGACCAAGAAATCCTGGATTATCAAAACCAAATCGAAGCGCTCAACCAAAAAATTATTGAGCTGCGCGTCAAAAAGCTTTGTTGGACTCATCTGACAGACATTTGCATGACGAAGTTCAAAAATCTACTCTCAAGGGAATAAATCATGGCGAGAAAGCCTTTCAGTTTAGGAGCAAGATTAATCATTGTTGCATCCTAAATTTTCCCCCTATATTTTTTAGTCGCATTTTCATATCATATTTTGTTATTTTGTCACAATCTTCAATAAAAATCTTCATTCATCACATTTGCATCATTTAGTCGTATTTAAGTTGACCAAAAGTCAGTTTAAATCGACGTTTGCATCGTTTTATAGTTGAAAAATACCTGATATTTCACTTCATACATTTTTATCTATTTATTCGCTTCTTGCATTGCATTAACTTGTTTATATGTCGATAATATTGATATTTCGGTTTTACGAACAGATTGTTAAAAGCGGTTTGGCACTATGCGGAAAATTAGCGAGAAAATATTTCAAGTTTTCACCTTTTACTTATTGTTTTATGAATCTACATTTCGCGTAGATCATGACGGTATGCTCGCTTTATTTTTTCGGTACAATTTGAAGTCTCGTTCTTAATCGTAAATGTTTGTTCAGCCTGATATTTTTATTCTCATTTTATTTTTATTTTGACCATTTGAGTAATTTTTTATTAATCTTTGTAATATGTAGTTTATTTTAATGTGTTCATTTCATTTTTCCGGATAATTTAATATCTATTTTTTTTAATCATTTTTGATCATTTTAAACCTCTATTTTTTATTCAAAAAAATTATTAAAAAATTATTTTAAATTGCATTAATTTTTATACTTTTAAATTTTTGTGTTATTTTTATCAATAAGGGCATCTTGAACATTTGAAAAATTTGAGGATACCTAAATTGATTTTGTATAAATAGAGGGATAAGATATTGTGTTAGGGGCGGATTACAATTTATCATAGAACACAAAACCAAAATGCGAACTCCTCTGTTCATCTTCCTTATTCCGCCCTCACCCATTTCCATTTCCGCGAGCAAATCTCACTGTTACCCCGCCTTGTCTCCCTTCCAGCATCGTACTGCTCTATCCGCCCACAACAACTTACTGTCATCATTCCCAACCGCCTACGCTCATCACCATCAACCTCATACTTCCTTCTTTATACTGTCGGATACTCCCTTCATTCAGCGATTCCGGATAACACCCAAACACCATCTGTAATTCACTTCTCATTATTTTGGTAGTTGGGATACTTCTATTTTTATGTCACTATTTTAATGGAATTTCTAGATTGTTAATGTTGAGTTGAAGTGATGATGTTGATATTTGATTTAATTGTTGAAATTGTTGTTGGTTATTGAAGATTAAGTTTGATGTTGATGAATTCAAAAGAAGAATCCAAATTTACCAGTAACGTATCAGTTAGAAAGGGGAAGGGATTTCCCTCTTTTTTTTTTTTTCTTTTTTTTTTTAAATTGTTTTTTTAAATTTAATTGATAGTATTTTGGGCTTTAAGCCCATTTTCAATTTTCTATTCTTGCACTACTATTACCATGCTTACCCCCCCTCATTTCTTTTATTTTAGTTCTTGTTAGTTCTTTTTAGTTAACTCATATGTGAACACGTGTTAACGAATAGATAGTTAGACTTTATCACGTAGATAAACATAAATCGTGTTGTTTTTACTTTCTATTGCATTGTAATTTCAGAGTTAATCGCGTGGACGCTTATGTACATGATTAAATAACTTGCTTTTAAATTATAACAATGTGTTTCATCATTTTAATTGAGACTTCAGATTATTTCTGTATTATCTTGACTTTGTCTATTTGTTCAGAATTTCATCTGACGTAGGGTTTTCTCATCTGATATTCTATGATCGTCTGATGCTTTATCTGACATCGTGAGCCTTATTCGATATCTCGAGTTTTATTTGATACCTTGAGCTTTGTCTGACACATTGCGCTTATCTGATACTTCGAGCTTACATGATGTGATTTCTTGACTTGTGATTTATTTTCACTCGATGCGCTTTATCTGGTGCTTGGAGTATTATCTGACATTTGGGTTTCTTTGATGCCGCCGGCTTGTGATTTATTTTTATCTGAGATTTGATATACTTTTGGCTTATTTATCAGTTTGTGGCTTTAATTCCAAAGGATGGGAACATTGTATTGACTCTAATCATGTCAAGTACAGTTTCTTATTTGGTTATATCCTCTTTACCTTATCTTTTCCCTCATGTACATAGGATACTCTCTTCATCTCCTCTCATTCTTTAATTTTCAAAACCTTCTCATCTTTTTCAAAACCTTCTTTGTTTATAAATTTAAACCGCTTTCATAATAAACGTCGACTTTGTCGAATATCTTTTCTTTTAAAACTTATTTTCTTTAAACTAACTTCAATTCATTTAATCATACTTTGACATCTTTCAAAATTAACAAAAACACTTCAACTCATTCAAACTTTTTGTGCCCTCGGGCACCTTTTACCTTTTAAAACTGTTTTCAAGATTAGACATGATTCATTTATAGTCGAGATATCATCCTCTATCCCTATGGTTATAAAGGTGCCGACTTTTCCACTTGAGTACTAAAGGTATTCTCAAGGCCTCACTCTTGTTGGCGCAGGGTCCATCTTTCTCACACCTTGTGGGATTTAGTTGAAATTTATCTCCTAAAAATGACGACTTGTCTCTTCGTTTAAAATCAATCAATAGACAAGTCTTTTCTAGCCGAACTACGGTGCTCTTACTTTTCCATTGCACGAGGAAGTGAGTAGGCACTAAGTCTTACGACCCAAGGTGAGCAAAAATAATAAAAAAACATTTTATTTTCTTTTGTTTGTAAATTTGCTTTCATTCTTTCCCTTTAGCAAGTAAGCCTTTAGATAACACACCTTTTGAAAGAAAATAAACAAAGTGGTTCATGCGGAGTACTGTAGATGCATAGGGTGCTAATACCTCCCCTCAACATAACCGACTCCCGTACCTCAATCTCTAATCTTTTATTTCATTGTGGGTTTTGTTTGCTTTTTCCTGTTTCCCTTTGGAAACAATAAAGTGCAGTGGAGACTTCATTGAGTGGGATAAGTCAATTGATGGCTTAATCTCAAATCTTTACTGCTATATTTTTTCTCATTTTACACAGTGCGACAATCATCTTTCAGCTAAAAGGATCCACCTCGACCAAAAAATTACCTACAAAAGGGCCTTCTTGGAGAACCTCAGATCTCGGTTTCCTTTGTAGTTTCGTTGTTGCCCCAGTTTTCGACTGGGCTTTATTTTGTATATGTAATCCCACTGGGAAATGTAATAGCCATCTTGTCACTTGTCCATTTTCACCCATGATATTCAACATTCTTTATTTTGCAGTAATTCGAATCTCTTGAAGCATAGGTTTATATTTTTTCAAATATTTACTGTTTACTTTCAAGATTCTTTGATTGAAGCCCAACTCTTCGATCTCATATGCATTATTGGTAAATGTTTGTAGTATTTCGAATGGTCCCTCCCAATTTGGTGACCACTTTCCCAAAGTTCTATCTTTCCGATCCGTAGGAAGAATAACTTTCCAGACGTAATCGTCAACCGCAAACATTTTTATCTTGGCCTTTTTATTATAAGTCCTTGTAACTCGCTCTTTCTGTCGAATCAACACATCCAACGCAACTAATATTTCTTCATCTAAATCCATTGTTTCGTCCAGCATCATATTCCAATATTGTTCTGATGAAAGTTCGTGTTGGCGTTGCACCTGTACTGATTGCAAGTGTATCTCGACTGGTAAAACTACATTGTATCCAAATGCCAGTAAAAAAAGTGTCGACCCAGTCGCTTCCTTGGGAGACGTTCGACAAGCCCATAAAACTTGATCTAACATCTTGTGCCAATTCTTGGGTTTCTTAGATACGTGTTTCTTAATTAACCCAATTATTACTTTGTTGGCAGCTTCGACCTGACCATTGGCTTGAGCGTAATAAGGCCTGGACATTACCAACTTGAAGCCTGTTTCGGATGCAAAATCCTGCATTTTGCGCCCAATGAAAATTGATCCTTGGTGTGTAGTGATTGTCTCAGGAATCCCAAATCTATAAATGATATGCTTTTGAATGAAATTAATCACTGCTTCCTGGTCTACATTGATCAATGGTACTACTTATATCCATTTAGTTGAGTAGTTTATCCCTACTAGGATGAACTTTTGTTGTTTCGACGAGGCTGGTCGAATTTCTCCTATGACGTTCAACGCCTATCCTCAAAATAAACATGGCTTAATGATCATGTGCAATTTTCTTGCAGGTACATGTTGAATACCTGCATGCTTTTGGAATTCTTGACAGTCCTTAGCAAATTCAATACAATCTTTCAACATGCTTGGCCAATAAACACCCTGTCAAAATAGCAGTCATTTCATTTTGTGGCCAGCTTGGTGGGCCTCACAAGCTCCACTATGGACCTTGACTATCGCCAAATATGCTTTAGTATCTCCCAAACACTTGAGAAATACCCCTTCAGGAGTCTTTTTGAATAATTCATTGTCCATGCACACGTAACTCAAAGCCCTGTATTTTACTTTCCTATTCACATTTCCAACTGGAGCTTCCAAATAATTCATAATTGGATTTTTCTAATCCGTGTCTGATAAATTGTCAATAGCAAAAATTTCAAATTTTAAAAATTTCAAACGTATCATGTGCCCCCCCCCCTTAGTTTTTGAGATTGGCAATATGGAGGACAATGTCGAAACTACCTTCTCTCTCACTTCGACGAAACTTTTCAACTTGTTCGTTGATACTTTGTACCCATATGCAATTTGTGCCTAATCATTATTGGCCACTTGATTTTCAAATCTGGGCACATGTGTAATGCTCACAACTTCAAAATATTCTAACAATTGATTAACCACTGCAAAATACAAAAATAAATATTCTTTGATGCATTTGTATTCTCGATGATTTGCTTGATCACTAATTCCGAATCTCCTTTAATTTCGACCTTTTTGGCACCTAAGTCTTTCAATAGTTTAAGCTCAATGACCAATGCTTCATACTTTGCTTTGTTGTTGGAGTATTTTCCATCTATGCTACATTTGAATTTTGTCGGTACTCCTTTTGGAGATATAATCAGAACTCCGGCACCAGTCCCATTTTTATTGCTCGACCTGTCGAAATATAGTTTCCAAGGGTCAGTGTCTACTAGATTCACTAACGGTTCTATTATTGCATGATTGACTATAAATTCTGTCATAATATGGCCTTTTATGGCCTCCAAAGGCATGTAAAATAATGAAAACTTAGTTAAGTCTAGTGCTCATTTTCCAATTCAACTATGCAAAATTGGTTTGGACAACATATGTTTAATGACATCACAATGGGACGAAACATAAACATCCACTAGTTTAATATATTGCTTAAGTTTAATACATGAGAAGTATAAACATAGGCATAACTTTTTTATCATGATATACCTAGTCTATGCATCTATCAACACTCGACTAAGGTAATAAATGGGTCTTTCTACTCCATTATCATCCTCTTAAGCTAACATACTCCCTATCATTAAATCAGATACAACTATGTATAATCTCATGTTCTTATTTCGACTAGGCGACAATAACACAAGAGGCCTTGTCAAGTATTCTTTTATTGCGTTGAAGGCCTTTTGTTGTTCCTTTCCCCCAATGAAAGTCACTTTCCTTCTTGATCTTTAGTAATAACGAAAAAACCTTTGTTTTGCCACTTAGATTTGAGATAAATCTTCTCAAGAAGTTGATTTTCCCCAAGAAATACTGCATCTGTTTCTTTGTCGAAGGAAGCTTGAGATCTAAAATTTCCTTTGTTTTGCTTTGGTTGATCTTGATGCCTTTTTTGTGTACTACAAAACCTAAAAAATCTCCTGCATGTACACATAAAGCACACTTTAGTGGATTCATTTTCAATCCATATTTCCTCATTCTTTCAAAGGATCTTGTAAGATGGTCTAGATGACCATTCTCCTATGAAGATTTTATCACAGTGTCATCGATATATATTTGCATTAAATGTTCTATAAAGTCATGAAACATGGCATTCATTTCCCTTTGATAGGTGGCTCCAGCATTTTTTTAACCAAACGACATAACCACCCATTCACATTTTCCTAATGCCCCTGGGCATCTAAATGTTGTTTTGGGCACATCCTCATCTGCTATAAAAATCTGGTTATAACCAGAATATCAATCGAGCATGCTAAGATATCCGT